AAAAATTGATTGACAGATTGATAAGGTCTTGCACTGTTGCCCAGGCTGGTGTGCAGTGGTGCAGTCATGGCTCACTGCAGCCTTGATCTCCCAGGACCAAGTGATCCTCTCACTTCAGCCTCCTGAGTAGTTGGGACTACAGGTATGTGCTACCATACCCGGCGTGTGTGTGTGTATGTGTGTGTGTGTGTTTTGTAGGGATTGGGTTCCACTATGCTGCCCAGGCTGGTCGGGAACTCCGGGGCTCAAGCCATCCTCCCATCTCAGACTCCCAAAATGCTTAGTTACAGGTGCATGCCACTGCTCCTAGATTTTAGTTTTAGATAGCATAACATTTTTGTGAGAGAGAAACTATGATTATCTTGCAGATGGTAAGGTAACAGAAATTTGTAGTGGCTACAGGTGGAGCAATTGAGTGATTTCCTATATTAACACTTAGCATTCTGTTAATAGACTCTGGCAAAAGTGATTGGAGTAATGGTCCATGGAGTCTAGACTGCCCAGGGATTGACCTAGAGATGGGGTTGATAACGGAAAATGTAGAGGCAAGGGACTGAAAGTCCATGAGGGGTGTCTGAATTTGAGATTTCAAGAATGGAGCAACTGGGGAGGATGCAAGTGCGGGGTATGACCTTTCTCTGTTGGTGCAAAGGTCATTTCAGTTGCAGTGGTCAAAGCAGTGGGTCTATGGGTGGCAATGAATTCTCCTGCAATGAAAAGCCAGGATTGCAGTAAGGAAGACGAACCCGATTTGAAAATATCAGTAAATGGTGGAGGTTGGGAGGAGGGGTATCGGGTGACATTACCCTTTATCTTCAAAGGGACGAGAGCTTTTACATGAAAGTGGAGTAATGCTTTGGAAATGGATTTGAGGAAAAGAGGATGCCGTCACCAACTGAGATATGTGGAATTTCAGGGAATGGGCAACATCTGTGTGAGAAACCTGCAGAAGGTGGATTTTTCAGAGAGCCAGATTTCAGTTAACCCAAGGAGGCAGGGAAGGACGTTCAGTGCTAGATTGTGGAAGGCGGAAATTTTGATTTGGAGGGCTAGTGTTATAGACAGACACAACTGGGGGAAAATTTCCGTCTTCTTTGCATTTGAGTAACTGAGTTGTAGTATAACCAAGATGAAACGGGCTCCATTCATATTAAGTTGTGTAAGTAATAGTACATTCTGTCAGAATACGTTGTATACCTACAATGTCCCAGGCAATATGTTTTGGGTTAATAAGCAGTGCACAGTCTCTGTACTCAGGAGCTCAGAATCTAGTGAAATAAGTGGACAAATAAACCTATGCCCATGGGAATGACTAAGTACAATGATTTGTGAATAGTGAGCAATGGCACCCAGCCCTGGAATGGGAGTGGGGGTTCAGGGAAATCATTTTTGACAGAATGACTGAGTGTTAATTAAGTAGGTAAAAGAAACAGGAAACTGGGAATGGGCATCCAAGCAAAGGCACAGAAAAGCTGATGAAACAACATGGTCTAGGCCGGGCGCAGTGGCTCACGCCTGTAATCCCAGCACTTTGGGAGGCCGAGGCGGGTGGATCACGAGGTCAAGAGATCGAGACCATCCTGGTCAACATGGTGAAACCCCGTCTC